TACATTTACTCGCTCTACCTTGGCCAGAGTAACGTTCTTGCTGTTCTTTTGCTTCTTTTCATCATGGAAGTCGACTATCATTATCTGATTATCACCACTATTATCACCATCATCCTTGCTTTATTGCCATTCTACTCCTGTTTATTATTAACGTTGGGTTTTCATACAGATTTTATAAAAATACTTTATTGTCTTTCCACTAGGTCTTGTCCAACCTACTCATGCATAATGATTAGTCATTTTCTCACACTTATTACGTAACCCCAACTTTTGCCCTTCTCTAATTTCCAATCAGTCACCACTTCGTTAATACACCCTACATTAAGTAATACGCTTTTCGAGGACAAATTTTGCCGGTAAATGATTGGTCTTAGGAATTCTTTGTTGAATATAGTTACAACTGTAGGGCTTATGAACATGAGCAGCTGAAAAGGGAAATTTCTACGCTGTTTTAGCCTTTTTCTTATGACTTAATGCGAGAATATTTCGTTCACCAGAGATGCTGCTCACAAGAAAATAAACATAAACGGAGAGACGTGACAAACGACACTAACTAGTAACCATTTACTGAACACACACTGAATGATATAATCACTAATATAACGGATTATCTTTAATTCTGCTCGAACGTGTACTTCCCCAAACAGACAGTATTGAAAAGGCTTGACCGTCACCCTTCTCATCTCCAAGAGCTATGAGGGAAAAAAGAGCGGCTGCACAAGTCTAAAGACAAATCTAGTCCAAAATAGATAAACATCCTGATTACATCAGAAATCCAGCGTCGGAACACTTTTACAATCAAAGACTCCCATCATGTTTTCGATTAGAGATAGTTTGCTTATAGACAGAGAGGAAGTATTTTAGATGCCGCCGCTGTACTACATCATAGCATTGTCTCCACTTTAGACCAAGGGGACAAGTATGTGCGTTGTACCTTCCTTTACTATACATACCTGGACATCTTTTGTTAAACAAGCTTTCCCTGACACAAATCCAGTCCTGGGCTGAATTTTTATTTTTCTAATGGATTGTATTATGCTATGTATAAGGGGAGATCTTCCTCTGCCTTGCGTGCTGAAACCGGCATTCTTCAGGCTGCTGTTCTCTCCCCTTTTCTGTTTTCTCTTTTCTTACACGACTTATCTCCATCTAATGAAATCAACCTCTTCAGGTACGCTGATGATCTTACCGTCTCGCTTCCTGTTAAGTCCCAGTCAGACTGTTGCAAACTTAGTTGCTTTCTGTTGGACATTAGTAAGTGGTCTAAGTCAAGAGGCCTTACGTTAAATTCCTCGAAATTCCGGACTATTGACTTCTTCTTTAGGCCCAGGAGCGATCAACAGGATTCACGTGATGCCTGTAACAAGGAGGGGGCTGTAACAAAAATTAGGCCCGACACCAAATATCTTATAGTATTCTCCTCCGACCTTACTTGGTCATCCATATTAGGTCTGTTTCTAAGGAAGTGTTCAGTCCAAGTTACTACATTAATGAGATAAGACAATCTGGAGTCGCTCATCCTCTACTTTTACAATTTGTTGACTCCTGTATATCACCTATTGTACTTCACCGCTCCTCTTTAGTCTATCCTGGTTCACTGAAAAGTTACTTAGTCATTTTAAGAAGGGTATTAAAAGTTGAAAGTAAAGCAAGTGATGTGTGACTTAGTTTGCTTGTCACTACATTAATCGATAGACATCTAAACTCAAGCGAGAAACGGTCCTAGTCTATATTGTCTGATCCTCGACTACCCCTCTATCCTCAACTCTCCCTAGTGTCTCATCTGGTAGAGGTATAAGTCAGCACCAAAGATTACATGCTCATAATAACAAGTATAGTAAATCAACGATACCATATTTGGCTTGTGCTCTGTACGATAGAGAATACTTCAGGCGCAGAATCTATGAATTACTGAGTTGTTACAAAATTATTTGGCTCATCTATAATCTCCTAATTGTATTCTACAGCGACACTTTGTCAATTAGTCCGCAGTCTTAACTACTTACATTGTTATTTACAATTTTTCGTGTATATATGGATTAGCTGTTACTATTAACACCATTTGAAAAATGCCGTTGACAATCCAGTGATAATATCTTTACAACTGATTTTAATGTCATTCAGCAAAACTAGGTGCGATATTGTACAAAATGCTGAAAATTCCACACTGCATTATATGTACTGTTATGTATTAAGGCAAATTATTCTGATATAAATGTGAAGTGTCTTTCATAACGAAGACGTATCATAACAGTCACAGGCGAGTCTTTGTGTTTAGATATCTACCTAGCTCAGTGAAGCAGAGGGTAACGCAGGCGAAAAAACTATCTAGCATATCAGTAGAGCTCTTCATTACATCAGTATTATTATAAAAAATGCGTCGGTGGCACAGTGGTTAGGACTCTCACCGACCGTGCACATGGTCCGAGGTTCGATACCCTGCCGACTCACACCTGATATCTATGGTCGGCCTGCAAAATTTGGGCTACAGATATCCATGCTAATTCCATATTAGTTTGTTTATTAGATGTATCACACAGTGAAACAGTGTTGTATACTGGATGACGTTTCGAACACAATTTATCGTTCATAATCATATCAATTGTGGTCACACGACTTGCTGAAAATTCCATAGCCGCACCAAAAATACAGTGTGGAATCAAATTGTAATAAAAAAATTAAAATCAAAATAAGTCCACTCCTTCACATCATAGGTAACCAGGTATTTAGGCCACTTGAATGATTGTGAACTCGTTTCTAATTGTCTTCCACTATCTAAAACGTCTACGACTGATTCATGGCTTTCAGTCCTGCGAGGCCCGAACACCAGCCACACACTCTGTTGACTCTTTAGTCTGGTTCACCTAACTTTGTTGCCAGACTGCTCTTGACACCGGCCCAGATAGAGGAATGAGAATGTAACACTTATGGTTTCTGAGAGGAGTATTCATTCAAAAAATTTTCAGAGTGCACAAATAGATAGTCCCATCGGAATCACGTTGCCGACCCCTTTTCCCTTGAAAATACTTTGACCACCATGTGTTTCAATTCGCACAGACAAATTAATTGATCTTGTTAGCTTAAACGGCTGAGGTTCAACTGAGTTGATGAATTTCTCAGATCCTCCGCAATATCAACTGTAGATGACATCACATCAGTTATCTATATGGATCGTAATAAGTGCGTAACGGGTACATAACCCTCATTGTCATGGAATAGAAATTTGGCATGCTAGTTGATTTTGTTTATTTAGATCAGGCGGGTCATCATTACCATGTTATAGTCATTATCTGCCAGTTGACAGGGTTGTCATATATTGTCTTATGTCGTGTGTTCTTCCTCGATCGCCATGGCATTAAAAGCCGTGTAATTTATTCCACATTACGTAAGCTTATTTGATGTAAATCACAATGATGAAGTATTGGTACCTGGATGAGTTTTCGAGAACTACTTGTTCCTGATAATCATATCGGTGATGACACTTTATGTGCTTCGTGTTCGAAGAATTACCACCGTACTCACATGACTGTCGTGAAACTTATTGTCAAGGAAAATATTTCGGTGGCGATAAAAACACTATATTGGTTGAATTTTGTGTTATTGGTGTCACGGTGAGAACGACCCTAGATATGCTGTGGTGATTTGTGTTCGTTTAATGATTAAAACCTTTGGGCCAAGCCGCTAAATACTTAGGAGAAACCAGTATTTACATTAAATTCATGTGATGAACACTCAAGCGGTTGTGACAAAGGTAAACGCTTTTATTTATTTTACCACTTCGTCTCGCTGCCGTTTGAAAAAATGTTCTTAAGCCAGTTAAGTTTTCGGAAACAGACATTAATTGTTGAAGTTCGAAGGCCACATGGCCAATAATCTCTCAAAAAGCCAAGCCCTTGAGTCCATGAAATGTCTCTCGTAAATAAATATCTCCTATCTATTTTTTTGATTATAACTTGACTCCACACCCTGTTTTTGGTACAAGTATGGAATTTTCAGCATATAATAGTGGTAGCCCAAAATTTTCGGGCCGACCATAGATATCAGGTGTAAATCGGCAGGGGATTGAACCACGGACCATGTGCATGGTCGGTGAGAGTCCTAACCGCTGTGCTACAGACGCACATATATCAAAGAGTCATCTCTGCTTACCGATTGTCCTATGGTCATATACGCAGATGACTTGAAAGTCTGAAGACAGCTGGGGGCGACAGTGATACGCTCACGCTGCAGAAGGACCTCAAAAAGTTTTCGGAATGTTCCAGAGGATGGATGCTCCCGATCAGTGCAGCAAAATGTGCAGCTATGCGCATCGTGTACGCAAGCATCAGCTCCTACGAGCTAGAGGGAATAACACTTCCATCAGTTCAGACTAGTTTGCATTTAGGTGTTATAGTAAGTCACGATTTAAAAACTGCAGTACACTTTTGCACGATGGCTGTACGTAGTTTCAGATCTTTGTGGGCAATTCGCACAGTCTTTGCTGGAATCATCAGTTATGTCCACCTCCCCAAATACATCTCGTGAGATGTCAAGGCTGGAAGACTGTACCCAGGCAGCCAGTCCTTGTCTTAGAGAGGACTCACATATTCTAGAAACGGTTCAAAGGAAGGCTCTCGGCGTGACTGAATTATCATACGAGGAAAGACTAGACAGTTTAAATCGCTTCTTCCTGTCATACCGTAGAGGGGAGATTTGATTACAAGGTTTAAAATTTTGAATAATGAATACAGACCTGACCTATTCTCTCTTTTCCTCCCCACAAGGTCGGAAAACCTTAGAGAACATAGTAGAAGACTTCGAAAGCCAAGAAGAAACCGCATTGTTTTGGAGTACTGGTTCTCACATACTGTCATAAACTTTGTAACCGACTTCCAGAAAAAATGCCGTTTGCAACTTCAGCTGATTCACTCAAAAAGGGTTGGACAAGCACAAAAATTTGCTAGAGAAGGAGTAACATTGACTCCAAGCCTTCTACCATCAACCAATATATCTGAATATGTAATCCATTGAACTTTGAACCTGCCTGCAGAACGTGGGCTTTATACTATCAGTGTTACAAATAGCGGATGATGGGTGACGCGGTAGGACACGCTGTACAAATAATCAATGTAGAGGAGTGCAACAAGAAGACTTCGTTCAGCTTAAATGAAGAGGCGTTATCGGCTATTCTTTTGAAACCAGATGTGCGTGATAAAAAAGTCGTAGTTGTGTCAGTTGCGGGAGCCTTCAGACAAGGGAAATCATTTCTGTTGGATTTTTTCCTTCGTTACCTATTGTGTGAAGATCGCACAAACTGGCTAGGAGATCCGGATAGACCCCTGAAAGGGTTTCCTTGGAGGGGTGGTTCTGAAAGAGATACTGTGGGTATCCTGCTTTGGAGTGAACCTTTTGTTATGACCCTACCTTCAGGCGAAGAGGTTGTCGTTTTACTAATGGACACACAGGTATGTAAACTGAACTTTGTTTCTATCGCTTAATAGGGTTCTTTTGACAGCACTAGTACTGTGCGTCAATGTGCCACAGTCTTCGCTCTGAGTACAATGTTGAGCAGCATCCAGGTTTACAATATACATGGTAATATCCAAGAAGATCACCTCCAACATCTTCATCTATTCACTGAATATGGTCGGTTGGCATTAGAGTCGGAAGTTTCTGGGTCTCCATTTCAGGTGAGCTATTTGTTTTTAACACTACGAGGAAATTAGCTCCTGTAAATTACGTATATGAACATTTGATCACTATAATACCATTAATGTAGAGTTCCTGTTGGCTGCAAATATAGCCTTATTTCACCTTCGCTCACGTCTTTTGCATGAGCTTAGTACATATATTTGTCATGTTTAGACTTATATAATATATCTTAGTGAAAAAATCAACTGACTCAGATTGCGACTCCTCAACGAAGTTTTTTTAAACACAATCCAAACACTAACAATCAGTTCAGTCAGTATTCTGCTACTTTCTTGTGTTCAGTCCTCGACAGTCTATTTACAATCCATCAGTTAAGAATTTTCTGACCAACAAATAATGATGGCTCTTGTATCCCGTCAACCACAGAACCACTACGGTTGATCTGAATTCTCAGACAACCGGGACGATCGACACATAGAACAGATGATTGAGATGCTTTCCCGTCGGGTAGTATGTTGAACACTGTTTGACAAAATCAGTTGTCTACACATCTGCTCGTCGACAGTTGGCAAGACTTTCAGCAATAGACTCTGGTGCATATTTGTAAATATCTCGGATGTGTTTTCGTCCTTTTTTTATTTATGTGTTATTTCATAGGAATGTTTCAGCATCAATCTGCTGTAAATTATTATGTCTAAGAATGTGAACTAAGATATCATAGACATTTGTCTTTATATTATTATTATGGTTATTGCACTGTGTAGCGATCTTAATATCAGATTTCAGGAGTAATCGATGTGCATTGCACTATGTTCGCTACCGTCTGGGTTTACTAACTGGAAAAGGAATTAGGATGTTCGTTATTGCGGCCCACAACAGAAACTTTAAAGCACAAATTACAATATAAATATTAAACTGATAATGAATAATAACTAATACAATAAAGCAAATATCCCTAGAAAACCAATACTTGACAATTAATCTGATGCTCACTAGCGACTGGCCCTATTCAGGCAGTTTTCCTGGGGTTCTAGTAGCAAGCCGTGACCAGTAGGGTACAGCAGGTCGACCGAAAGCTGTTACCTTGACGTGGTGGTCGGGCTTGAACACCGCAATGACCTAATCAAGCTATACTGGCTGAGACTTATGTCTCTTGAGGTCCTACCATGCCAGAAAGGTTGTTTGGATAGCGGTTAAACAAAAAGCAGCTATCCACGGCAGGAGTGATAAATATGCTACTGAGACACACAAAACAATAAAGAACAAACAAAAACAGGCTGCGTGTGACCGGCCCCAAGCAGTTGTCCCCTGGGCTCTGCGGTCATGCAACCAACTTCCACGGTGTGGGCAGCCGGGAAGTAACAATCGCCCTCACAATCCGAATCGCACGCGAAACCTCTCTAATACTCACTCATCTTTGTCTTCATCTTCATCTCTATCATCTTGTCTTCCTTCCACTGATGCAACTCCCCGACTTGATAGCTCTTTACTTCATCTCTACTCTGCGTCCACTAAAAACGACGGAAGCCAAAAAGCCACCACCGACAGCCTCTTAAAGCCGGGCCACCAATTTCATATAAGAGCTCTTAATGTTAGGACACTTTGCCAAATAGGACAACAAGCATCACTAGCCAAGACTCTGATGTCCCGAGCCATTGGTGTATGCTGTGTTTCAGAAACACACATACAAGACCCAAGTGTGGTTATTCACCTAACCCCACCTGGCCAACAGGTTGAATCTTCAAAATTCACCTTGAGGGTGTCAGGAGATGCCACAGCTAGTTCACGAGGATTAGCTGGTGTAGGGATAGCTTTGAGTACTAGGGCAGAAAAGACATTGCTTGACTGGATCCCAGTAGATAGCCGAATGTGTGCTGTCCGTCTGAACGGGTCAGTAAAAAGGAGAAAAGACTGCACTACTCGCCGATGCCTTTTCGTAATCTCCGCCTACGCCCCCACTGACTGCAGTTAGGATGAAACGAAGGATGAGTTCTACCAAAAGCTGTCTAGTTTGGTGCGAAAGGCTAAACGCTCAGACATAGTCGTTCTAGCTGGTGACTTTAATGCTCAAGTAGGGAAATTGTGTCAATCTGAGAAGGATGTCGGTGGCACCCATGGAGTTCCGTGCCAGCGAACCGACAACGGTGACCATCTCCTACAGTTCTGTTCTGATAATCATTTGTTTCTTGTTAGCACTAACTTCAAACACAAGGAGAGACACTGTTTGACTTGGAGACCCCCTTCATCAAACCAACGCTGGACACAAATAGACCACATAGCAATAAGCTATTGTTGGCGTGGATCGGTAGGAGATTGTCGCTCCTTCTGGAACACGTGCGTAGATACCGACCATGCACTGGTCCGCGCTCGGGTGTGCTTACGACTGAACGGACGTAGGAAACAGCTGGCGGTAAAACCATCACGTCCCCAGCTCGATCAGGAAACTAAATCCGTATTTGAGGAAGAACTAGCTAAACACATATCTGAGTTCGACAGCTGTGCTCACCCTGAAGAAGCTTGGAGGAATATCCAGGCAGCCATAGATACAGCTGTAAAAGCTGTGAATAAGGTAAACCCAAAGGTGAGTAAAAACCACTGGATCTCCACCGCCTCATCCGAACTGATGGATGCTAGAAGACTTATTCCGGCGAGCTCCGAATTCAATGAGGAGCGAAAGCTGCACAAGAGGAAACTTACGAAAAGTCTCCGCAAGGACCGTGAACAGTGGTGGGCGACAAAAGCCGAAGAGATGGAGAAAGCTTTGAGGATAGGCAACACCAGGCAACTATTTAGACTCATCAGGGAAACGGGTGGGAGAAGACAAATCATTAGTGAGACAATCTCTGAGAAAAATGGCACTATAATTAGCTCCCAGGATAGACGACTGGATCGCTGGAAAGAGCATTATGAGGAGCAGTTTAATTTGCCCACAGCCACGCTCAACCTGCCGAACATCCAACACCTCCCTGAATGGGATATAGACGCAGGTCCTCCATCTCTAACTGAGGTTACTAAAGCTGTCACCAATCTGAAACAAAGCGAAGCAATGGGACCTGATGGAATGACTCCAGAGGTATTTAAGTACGGTGGAGACAGCTTACTGTCTGGATTAACTGAGGTACTAGGCAGCGTCTGGGAATCAGAAGAAGTCCCATCGGGTTGGTGTAAGTCACTGATTATCCCCCTATACAAGAAGGGAGACAAGTCTTCCTGTGATAATCACAGAGGGATTAGCTTGACTAATATGGTATCTAAAGTCTTAGGCTCAATAATCATGTGTAGACTAAGTGGTGCTCGGGAGGCACAAACACGAGAGAGCCAGGCAGGCTTTAGGTCAGGAAGACGGTGTATTGATCATATCTTCACCCTCCGACAGATTCTAGAACATAGGCATTCCTACCGGCGTCCAGCAGTCATTATATTTCTTGACCTAAAGGCAGCATTCGACTCTGTCGATCGAGAAGTTCTCTGGAGATGCGTGGCTGTAAAGGGAATGCCGACAAAATACATTGCACCGATCAAGGGTCTCTACTCGAACACATGCAGCCAGGTGAGGGCTTACGGCGAGCTGTCATCTGAACTGGTGACGACTAGTGTTGTCCGTCAAGGATGCCCATTATCCCCACTCCTATTCAATTTCATCATAGATGTACTAATGAACTTAACGCTAACTCACTTCAGCGACTCAGGAATTGACTTGCTACCAGGGAATAATCTCGTTGACTTAGAATATGCAGACGATATAGTCCTTCTAGGCGAGGACTCTGACAAAATGCAAAGTCTTTTGAACACCTTGAGCTGCAATCTACGAATGTTTGTAATGCGATTTGCTCCCACCAAATGTAAGATGATGTTATAGGACTGGACTACACAGCCTCCTAGTTTAGAAATAGGAAGTAAAGTGGTAGAGCACGTTGATCGCTTCACTTATTTGGGAACCTCGCCAGATACTAGCTTGCTAGGCTACCAGCTTACTAGTTTTCTCGCCGGTCCCAAGCCCGGGTAAAGAGGGAGGGTTGGGGCGTGGTGCTAGCAACTCCACCCCTGTAAAACAACCAAATCGCTACAGAAACTTCAACGAATAAATATATTAAAAATTCTAAAAACATAAGCAATAGCCTTACTTTTCGCTGGAATCGGGGAAGTGAAATGACGCAGGCTGGTGAAAGCCTTCGGGAAGCCAGTCAGCCGATGTGCCTTCTTTCGATGAAAGCAAAAGTAAGGATGGGTACCTGGAATGTTCGCACAATGTACGAAACTGGAAAGGCTGCCCAGATAGCCGCTGAAATGAGAAGGTACAGAATAGAAGTGTTGGGAATCTGCGAGAGCAGATGGAACGGAACTGGAAGGTGCCAACTACCTACTGGAGAGACAGTAATCTATTCCGGCCACCTAGAGGACAACCATGAGCACACCGAGGGAGTGGCCATCATGATGTCACCAACAGCAACCAAAGCTCTCATGCAGTGGGAACCAATCTCCTCCAGGATAATGACAGCCAGGTTCAACTCAAAAGGAAGGAAAGTTACAGTCATTCAATGTTATGCGCCTACAAACGTCTCAGAACAAGAGAAGAAGGAGGCGTTCTACAGACAACTACAAGCAATAATGGACAACGTCCCAAATGGCGATATCAAAATCCTGATGGGCGACATGAATGCGAAGCTGGGAGGAGACAACACAGGAAGAGAACTCACCATGGGTCGTGAGGCCCTCGGTGAAATGAACGACAATGGTGAACTCTTCTCAGACTTCTGCGCCTTCAATGATTTGGTGATTGGCGGTAGTGTGTTCAAACACAAGGATATACACAAGACGACATGGATTTCACCAGATGGAAACACCAAGAATCAAATAGACTTCATCTCAATTTCAAGAAAGTGGAGACGGAGCCTACTGGACACAAGGTCAAGGAGAGGAGCAGATGTGGGTTCAGACCACTATCTAGTACAAGGGACTTTCAAGGTGAAACTAAAAGCCTCGAGGATAGCTGGGGATAGGCCACAATGCAAGTTCAACACTCAGAAACTGAAGGACA